CACCCAGGCATGGGGCTTAACTTTTTTTTCCTGTGACATTGACATTAAATTGGGTTATTTCTAACATTTGGTCAGCGAGCTCCACCACAGTTAAGATTGAGAGGAAGGACCCGAGCTGATTTGACTGGATATCACAGCAGCACGTGTAAACTTTCATGGGATGGTATCAGTTATACTCATAAATTGCTTCATGTTTGCACTACCAAAGTGACCATGAGGAGAAGCTGCTGTTACTGAAGAAAGGCACGGGCCTCTAGTAGCTACAACCCAATCAGTTATTCTGTAAGTGTAAAAGCATAACAATACTATGTGTAGGAAGTGTCTCACAAATAAAGTGTGAATAAATAAGCCAATAAAGAAAAAATGGCAATGCATAACCCATTTATTTGTTTTAATAAATATTGTGCTGTGGCTTGTTTCCCATTTGATTACTTCACCTGCTCTAACACATAGCATGTATACATCAGCTAATTATCAAGCCCTGCAGAAGGAAAGGGCAGGTAGGCCAATCAGAGAGAGCACTCTTATAATGTGGTGAAAATCCAGGAGCAAGACTGGAATACATCAGACTAAACATTTACATTATAACAATATACCTGGAGATGATCCACTGCTCTCCTGAACTACTAACTATCCTTCTGACACCCGGAGTCTGTTACAGCCATAAGACTGGTAGGATCATAGCCGAAAAGTTTCTTTTGTCAGGAACTGAAATTCATATGCAAAATGTCAGGATTAAAAACAAAAAGAGTACATCATATACACTGGCAAATGATTTAACATACGGGTCTAAGATGTGTCAGTTTTGCTCAGGGAAACAGCTATTCTTATTAGTTATCTCTTATATCTATGACATGTCATCTCTTTTCCAAAACGTTATGTTAGCTCAAGCCACGCAAAGGTCCAGTGCTTGAGGCCAGTGGGACTGACTTAAGGTTACACAACCAAAATTGTGTTGTGTTAACTGAAAGGTAAAACATATCTCGATTTCCACTGCCATGATCAATGATTTATCTGTATATGGTATGTGGCAGGTATTAATTTCAGACCCTGGCCCTTATCTTGATTTAGTGCTTATACTAATGAGTCAGTCACACCTATGAATCACCTTCTGTCTGAATTCTTAGTATTCGAGAATGTTCTGGAGCTCGCTGAAAGCCTGCTGTCCTTGGCTATACAAACTCTTCTTAGGTAATCATACTTTGGACACAGTTGTCATCTCTCCTCCACTTCTTTCCTCTTTTTCCTCTGATTCATTCTGCCACTCTCTCTATCTCTCCCCACGTCCAGGCTTTCTTTTGCAGCGTGCCCGCTGACTCACCCTCTCCCTCTACAAATGTGGGAATGTGCGTCTGTGTGTGTCGGCGTGTGCCAAAGTGCAATCTTGGGGATATTTCAGTCTGCTCCCTGATGTCACCACCTTGTTGTCTCACTGTCACACATATACACACACGGACGCACAAACATAAGTCCATGCATACAAATCAATAGCCAATTCAGACAAACATTTAAACCACGCCAGTATTTTTTAAAAATGTATTAGCTTCGGCATCGTTCTGTCTGGATAGTTTGTATATTTTCATCTTTGATTACTAGTTACATTCTAAACAGAGGACGTTTTTCACATCGACCACATTGTTCACATCTTCACCTGCATACCTTATGCACATCTGGAGGATTGAAAGCAACATCTTCAAGGTACGTGAGAATCAAAACATCACTGTCTGTCTGGTTTCTACATCTGTTAATTTCTAATTTACTAATGAAAAAAATCCAGAAAATTAGTATGTAAAACAGACTTTTTAGTAGGTGTGAAGGCTAGATAAGAGGGTTTTTTTAGATTCAAACACAAACTGTAATATGGAAGTGGATTAGTTTTAATACTCAAAAACTGTCCGAGAATCCTCTGCGTCCTTCTTAGTAGTCTCCTGCATTTGCGGTTCTTTTACTACATTTGCAATGGCCGTATTTTACAGTCAGTGTCTGCAAGAGCTCCTATAGATGAACGTCAGTGACATTCAGCAGATATGTAAGAATACTTGCAAGGCTCCTTCTAGGAAGTTGGAGAAAAGGCTTCAAACTGTATGCTTCATCACACATACGCCACTACTAATGTAAATAACACCGGTTTCATATATACTCGTATAAATACCTTATATAAATATAGGAATAATAGTTAGGGAAACCTGAAGGACAAGTTGCTGTCTCACTGTACTGATGAATGTATACAAAACAGAAATGCATCGCAGCACTGAATTCAAGTAGTCCATAGTACATAAGTACGCAACATGCAACACAGCCCCAGTTTTTTTCAGTCTGTTGAAGACAGTGCAACATCTCGCAATACTGCCCCCACTATTCATATTGATACTGCACCATGCACACTTGATGCGCTGAATTTACACACGATACACACTCGCCATCTTATGTATGCGTAATTCAAAGTGTGTCAAAGAGACTATTTGTCATAAAATACCACTTATATTGCATGAGGTGTAATAAACTTTTAAACTCAGTCAAATTCAGTAACTTTCTATGCTACTGTCTTGAATCAGGAGAGGCTACAGGGGTTTAAAAAACATGCTTTTCCTAAGCATGCTGTTTAGCAAGTGGCTAGCGTACGAATGTATTAGTTTGTGAAAACGGAAATGCTTATTCTCAGCAAAAAGCAGCTGCATTCAGGCAGCCTTCCTGGCTGATTCATTCAAAAGAAATCATTGTGGCGACTGGGAAGTTCACAGCTACACATATGAGACACTACTCAGAGAATACAGGACTCAAAAACCCATCTAGCACTTGGCCAGAGAGCCAACGTTTAATTAGCCATGTTTAATTTTGTTACATTCTACTGCCCAGCTTTTGTTTCGTTATATGCTACGACTCTGAATGGATTAAGTTTCAATTTCTGTACTCTTATAACGTTAAATGTTTTAATCCAGGGGTCTTCAATTTTGTCCATAAAGGGCCGGCATGGCTGCAGGCTTTCATTCCAACCAGACAGGAGTCACACCTGTTTCTACATGTTTAATCAGTTCATCTTGGGCTCCAATCAACTATGAATTGTGCCTCCTATTTGGCTGGAATGAAAGCCTGCAACCACACCAGCCCTTTGTGGATCAAACTGAAGATCCCTGTTTTAATCAGATGAAAATCTAAAGCACGTATTTAGGTGTACTGAAAAATGTATCATATCAAGACACCACCATATCATATCAAATTGTATTTTGAATCTTGCGTATCGTTCCACCATTGGTAATAAACCTGGCGTGTAGGTTTAGAGTAACTGGCAACACTGGATGGCAGCAGCTACAGAACACAAGGACAGATCCAGTCACAAAACTGGACTGAATTTACAGCTTCCATCCTTCCCCTCTAGACATGACATAGATATAACTGCACACTACAATGCCCTTCATTGCTCTACTTGCTCCTAACCTGTGATACACTCACACCCACCACACACACTCGCAGCAGCAGAAGTAATCAATAAGACTCAGATAAATCACTGAATGTTTTCTTGTATGCTGAGATCATCCTGAACAACCACAGCTGATGAATGTTTCCATAGCTGTTTCGATTTATCATAGCCTAACAAACGTAAATAGCTTAGAGAAAATAACACAGGTCAATCTTTAACCCTGTTTTATCAAGTGTGACGAAACACAATCAAAAACACATCTCATAATATAGTGATTTCTTCTTGCTGTGCAGCCCTAGTGCTCAGTGCTGAATAAAATTTGCATCAGGAAAAGGCTTGCCAGTCTGTGTCCGGTTACGCCGGCAATCTTAACAGGCACCCTCTTATTCTACATGCAGACAAACACATGCACACACACACACACACAAAGTGCTACTGGGACACTCACCCAACCCCCACAACACATGACCTGTACAGGAAGGGTTCAAACACACATATTTGCATTCACAAAAGAGCTAAATATTGTGTGTGAAGAGATAACAGAAGGAAATAGCTTTCTTATCACAGCAAGTTAAGCAAAGCATAATCAGTGTATCAGAGTGTTTATCCTCTACAGTAAAACCCTGTTCACTCCTATAAGGATAAAACTGCCTAATTATCATATACATACTGTATATCCAAGCTGCATCAGGGTCCCAATATAGTCATACTATTAAATTTACTACTTCATACATGATGCTTCTACAACAGGGTTGTTACAGTGTCATGGTTTCACTGTAAGTCATGATCAGACGTCACCTCACCGTTAATTTTTCAAAATACCAATTAAGATGCATTTCCTTCTGGTTTTGTTTCTGCTTTTCCTCACAGCCACTCTCACATTCATCTTAATAAAAACAACATGATAAATAATGATGTAAGAGATTTTATGAAAACATCTTTCAAAAGTCCTTTTCAGGCCCAGTTTTACATGGAGAGGTTGGGTAAACTAATTATTAATGGAGTTTCTCTGGGATTTAAGTCCAAATCTGTCATACAGACTGCACGTGTCTGTAAAAATCTGGAAAGATTACACTGTACTTTACCGTTTATAAAATGACCAGTAGAAATAACCCCAGGTACTATATACACTCACTGAGCACTTTAATAGGAACAGTATACTAATACCGGGTAGAGCCTCCCTTTGCTCTCAATTTTTCGTGGCATGGATTCCACAAGATGTTGGAAACATTCCTTTGAGATTCTGGTCCATGTTTACATGACTGCATCACACAATTCCTGCAGATTTTTCAAGTGCACTTTCATGCTGCGAAGCTCCCGTTCTACCACATCCCAAAGGTGTTCTATTGGATTGGAGACTCTTGTGTGTGAATATCCCAGGAGATCAGCAGTTATAGAAATACATGAACCAGCCCACCTGGCACCAACAATCAGGCCACGGTCAAAATCACTGAGATCACATTTTTTCCGCATTCTGATGGTTGATGTGAACATTACCTGAAGCAGTTGGCCTGTATCTGCATGATTTTATGAACTGCACTGCTGCCACACGATTGGCTGATTAGAGAATTGTATGAACGGGGGCAGTGGTTGCTCAGTGGTTTACAGCTTGGCCTACTGATTAGAAGGTCATGAGTTCAAACCCCATCGCTGCCAAGCTGCTGTTGCTAGCCCCTTGAGCAAGGCCCTTAATGCTTAGCAGTATAAATGAGATAAATGTAAGGCGCTCTGGATAAGGGTGTCTACCAAATGCCATAAATGTAAACATAATGTAAATGAATGAGTAGGTGTACAGGTGTTCCTAATAAAGTGTTCAGTGAGTTTATAGGTGATGTTTAAAAGGACTTGTCAGAGAAGTAACAGTTTGAGAGGTTTTAGGCAAGTTACTCCATTCCGAGCACATGTACAGGCTACGGATATGTTATGGTCGTGTGACCTACTAACCCACTCACTTATCTTAGGCGAATCAATCGTAATTACTACAGATGTCTTCCAGCTACACTACTTAACAAGCATATGTCTGGGAATCCCACAGAAAGATAATCAACTAGAGGATTTAGTCTTATTGTTTCCTTTTGGTTTTTGTCATGCTATATAATAGCATGTGCAAAGCGACTTTTGTCCAAACATTTCATAATAAATATTTCCTTAATATTTTCAGCAGAAGCATGTGTGATGTTTTTTTAAATTAGTCAATTAATATTAATAGTAATAGCGTGAAACCTTGATATTTTTAGACTAGCTTATCATAGTGTGAAACAATGCACCATAGGGAAAAGTATCCCTTCGGCAGAGTGAGAACTGTACCGTTGACTTCACTGCCATGTTTTCCTCATGTTTTTTATAGAATTAATGATTTGAGCCAATTGTCCTCCATTCATAGCTTATTGTTAGTGCATGGACATCACCTCCAGATGTCCTAACATCTTGCATATGAGCTGTACCTGATCAATAATCAATAACCACTTCCTCTGTGGAGTCCAAACAAATCAGCTTGTCAATTCAGTCATTTAAGTTGACAACAGTTAGATGGTTTCTGCTTTAGAGTCTAAAATCTGGAGGTCCACCAGACCACACCCACACACACCCACACACACATTCTACCTGTGTTTGAAGGCTCGGTGGCGCAGCCGGAGTGCACTCAGTGCTAAGTCCAGAGTCTTGCTGGAGTGAGAGACACTGCGCTCCATACTAACACACAAGACAGGACAGTTATGTCCCGTTTTTCATTTTTGTTCTCACTTTTCCCCAGTGTCTGTCAGGGTGCTGTAGAGGGTGTGGGTGGGGCCAAGAATCCATCACTCACATGACCAAATCACACCTAGCTGACAACTCTCCATTCTTACCGTCTATGTCTCTATAGATGCGCACACACACAAACTCATACAAGGCACACACACCTATACAGTCTCTCAGACACCACCACAAGGACCTTCAATTTCTCCGACTGCATGCATGCAAACACACACATTGACACACACATAAACATACACAAATTATTGTCTGTTGCACTTCTAGAAGCAAGAGATTTATTATCTGCTTTGCTGTCTGGATCAAGGGTGTTAAATCCACAAAGCAATAACAAACAAACACGGAGCATTTAAACCATTATATAATTCACTGTTTATTGTAAGTGTGGACACATGACCAGTCAGTCCCTTAGTGGATAAATATTTCCTACAAATACTTAATTTGGAAAGAGATCTCCAGAAGGCGCTCTCCGGGTTTCTCATTATAGCCTGCCTATCTTGGAGTATCTTTCCCATTCCACTCCAACATTCCTCTAAGCCCAAGTGACATGCTGTTTCCTGCAGGCTCCGATCTCTTCTAAGGTTTCCCTTTTCAAGTGCAGAGCTCATCTGACTGCAGATATGGAACAACAGAAAATGTAGAATGTTGTAGCGAAACACGGTACTTGTTAAGTGTACTTAACTTAACAAACGTTACTGACAGACACTGCCGAATCTACACCAAAAATCAATGGTGGCATTTTCTGTATGAATAGGTTTAGTAACAGATACTGCTACTGCTGAGTTCAGCTGTTGACAGAGGTTAGGAGATCTCCACCCATCTGTTCCCCACCCCTGCTCTGCTCAAATTCAGTGCACCTGAGCTCAGTCAATGACGCACACTCCTCACACACACCCTGCATACCCGACAGGTAAAGCCTCCTCAGCTGGTGTCAGCTAGCTCGAAGGGTTATCATATGGCTGATGAAGGTTCCTCAGATGGCCAAGTGTAATGTTCCAGCCATCATCCAGGCAGCATGTCTGCACTGATGCTGCAGCTGAACTACTGTTCTGACCTAAATAAGCAAACCTCCCAGTGCTGCAGTACAGGATTATGAGATATGATTGCAATCCTTTTGGCACACACTGGTACCCAGAATATTTAGCGTAAGCCTTCAATGTACAAAAAAAGATTTAGAAACAAACTTTTAATTAGGCATTATCCTCAAGGAATGGCCAAGGGTACCTGTTATCAGCATCACACTTGTCATGTTCATGTTTGTTAACTGCACTCAACGGGCAAGGTAAAAGTATTACAACGCTGTATATTTACCCAGTGATACAGAGATACACAATGCAGGATGTGTCTTCTGCTGAGGCAGAGATGGATAGAAGGGAAAAAAGAAGGGCAACAGAAAAATATATAGAGATTATGTAGAACGCAATGTGTCGAGAGAACAAAAGTAACAGAAGAACCAGAGAAAAAAGAAGCAAATGAGTGGGGAGAGAGGGGTCTCTGAGGACTAATGGAAGGCTGGTTAGCTTTATAGAGCGTAAAAAAGCGTGTGGGATCAGTGTTTGGTTGAGAGAGCTACAGACTGTAAGTGAAATAGAGCCATGGACCATTGAACTGTCATGAACGGTGACTGACCCTTGTCTTTTTGAGTATCTCAGTGCTTATGTCCTAGAAACAACAGGGACAACAAAGGTACCCTAATATAATGGATTTCTATTTGTGTGTACGGGCTCTTTAGCTCTAAACAGCTATCTTGCTTTCTTTTCTTTCCTCTTTCCTTCATGGTCTTTCTATCCATCGATAGATGCATAAAACCACATTCTAGATCGTTCTGTCTGGTCTATCTGTCACTGTTTCTCCCTTTTATATATAGAAATATATACTCTTCTTCTAGAAGAGTACCCTCTTCTTCTATTATCTTTTTGTCATTCCTTTATGCCTTGTTTCTGAATTAAATATATTTTATTTTTCCAGCTCTCATTCTCTATTCCTATCTGAGAGACTGCAACTATAAAAATCAAAGTATTGTAACGAATCATCACCTAACCTAAAATGCATGTCCTAATCAGGCCTAACACACACAAAAAATTCCAATCCCCCTTAAAGTGGCCTTGTGATACATGCGAGCATGAGTGCAAACGCAGGCCACAAACACCGCACTCCTCTCACATTTCCCACATTTATCATCCATCCTTGAGACACACACTCCATTTCACCTTTGGAACGCAGCTAATTTTGCCCCAACAGACATATCTTACAGCAAACCTGTGCTGTCTTACCAGTGTGTATGTACCCTCAACAGAACCTAGAATGGATAGCAGTGGATTCTGGATGGATCTGTGCACAGACCCATTGCTAAAAAAAAAAAAAAAAAAAAAAGCTAGGAATTTTTGGACACCTACTAAAACAGTGAAAGTCTTCACATTCTATAATAGTCATGCTCTAGAACTGTCTTTAGCTCAGAGCTTTAAATCCCAATCCTCCAGGACAGCCAGTTAACATTCATGTTTCATTTTCTCAACCCCTCTGTCCAAGCTAATCAGGTAATGTGCATAAACTGGAACATTCAAGGACACTTGATATGGTCCGTATGTAGTAGGAGCCATAAAAATTGCCCCGACAATCCTGGCATGGTAGGCATTTATTCTTACAATTATTCTTTAATGCAAAGCCATTCAGCCTGCAATCTGTCCAGAGATCCCATAAACATAATTTTCAGATAGCCTAACATTGGGATCCTAAAGCCCTATGACAGTGGCTATTAAAAGCCTTAATGACATGAACACAATCTGCTCTAACTGATTCATATTCTCTCAGTGCTTACTGAGCTTACAGATCTTTTTCCCCTCTGGATTTATATCAATTTAGATGCCTTCCCACCAGTGTGAATGTTACTCTGTCACCAAAAGCAGGGTCAGTTGTACCCCGTGTTGTACCCACAGAGCACATGGGGGTTAAATGCCCTTCCCATGGGCACAATAGAAGTGCAAAGAGTAAGATGCTTAACATGTCATGTTGCATTCACACCTGCTGGCAGTTGGTGGGACAGGCTCAGAGCTCTAGTTTTCACAGATTCTATTCTCCAAATCCATAGGATGTTAACCCTGAATATGAAACACTGTGGTAGCTGTATTAGCTCCTGTGTGTCCAAGACTAGTAAGTCCAGACAACTGGGGTTACTGTATAATCTCGAATATATTTTACAGTTCATTATAAGGGTTTCATACAATGTTTCCCCACTCACCTGGACATAGTGGCAATGAACAACAAAACCTCTTCAGCTTATAACGATCAGACCAGTCACATGATCCTACAGTTATTTGTGTTTATACCTGCCTACAATACACACTGTACACAATTCAAACACAGAGACCCTTTAAAGCTGTTTAAAGTATTTTGTTAATTTAAAGTAAGTCGTTTAATGGAGTTTTACTCCATGTCATCTTGCTCCTGTACGCATGAGAGCATTTGTTTGCACACTCCCTAAACTGAAACATTCATGATGTGGCCTATGCTTTCAGCAGACATTACATGACCCATATTTTCATTCATTTACAACTTTATCACATGCAAAATCTTGCTATGACCTGAGAGTCTGTGTCACAGGGCTGGACGATATGATGATATAATTTTTGTAACTGTGATAAATTTAGTAAGATACATTTTTCTAACTCATAGTGTTAAGTAACTGATTGGGTGCATTTTCATATTTTTCTACCAAATGTTTTACTTTTCTTTCCTTTTCAGTGCTCCCAAAGCCAGGTCTAGTCCATCTAACTTGTCCATCACATGCCTGCCACCCAGCCGACATTGCACCTGACTCCCACCCTTCACCATGCAGGTGGTAACCAAACCATGGCTCTACGGTGCTATTTTGGGCTGTGCCCGAGCGGGTTACGTGGGTGTCCAGG